CGTTGTTTGGGGAAAGAAGATGCATTCTTCCAGAAAAATGTTGACAGGGTGAATGCAAATTTGCGGATGGATTTCCATAACAATGGATCAAATGAGTGGCTAGGCTTCCGTTTGGAGTTGATTGGAAGTGTCCTGCTCTGCATTTCTACCCTTTTCATGGTGATGCTGCCAAGCACTCTTATTGGATCAGGTGGCGTTCTAAATTGTGTTAAACTGTAACTCAAGTTTGCACTAATTCTTTGTGTTATAGAAAATTGACTTATGGGTTTGTTTGCCATCAGAATATGTGGGCTTAGCTCTATCGTATGGTCTGTCTCTGAATGGTGTTCTCTTCTGGGGTGTCTATATGACCTGTTTCATGGAGAACAAAATGGTTTCAGTAGAAAGGATAAAGCAGTTCATAAAGATCCCATCAGAAGCTGAATGGAGGATTGCAGGTTGTCTTCCGACCCCAGATTGGCCTACTCATGGGGAAATAGAGATAAGGGACTTGAAAGTAATACACCAAAATCCACAATCATAAGTCTTGTTTTTTTTCTCTACAGCAAAATAAGTATCTTACGTATTTTCTTCAACGGAAGTTCTCAAGTCTGTGTGAAATCTTGAGCAGGTCAGGTATCGGGATAACACACCTCTAGTTCTCAAAGGAATATCCTTTAGCGTCCACCGAGGAGAAAAGATTGGTATAGTTGGAAGAACTGGAAGTGGGAAGTCAACATTGATTCAAGTTTTCTTTAGGCTGGTGGAACCTTCTGGAGGGAGAATAGTCATAGATGGAATTGATATATGCAGACTTGGCCTTCATGATCTCAGGTCTCGCTTTGGAATCATCCCTCAGGAACCTGTTCTGTTTGAAGGAACTGTCAGAAGCAACATTGATCCTCTCGGGTTATACTCTGATGATAAAATATGGAAGGTATAATGCATTTCACCCTAAATGCATCTCACTCAAAACCTACTCTATGTTTTATTAAAGTTATTATGATTTTGTTGTGTGTAGTGTCTTGAGCGTTGCCAATTAAAAGATGTAGTGGCTGAAAAGCTTGGGCAACTAGATGCTGCAGGTACATCATATCCTACTAAACAGAACAATAGGACAATACTATGACTGCATGGTCCCAATAACCACTGCGAAATACATGATGATCAGGGCAGTGTAATTTGAACTACACCGTGGTTACTACCGTTATGCAAAATATTAAAAGTCATCTCATATTTAGCCACATTTTTATCTTTTCTGTCATATATTTGGTCATAATCCATTACTCCGTATTATTGTTGATTTATTACTATCCCTTGTTATGAACCAATTGCTTGATGGAATTTGGTTAGTGGCTGACTCGGGGGATAATTGGAGTGTGGGTCAAAGGCAGCTCCTTTGCTTGGGGAGAGTGATGCTAAAGAACAGCAGAATTCTCTTCATGGATGAAGCAACAGCTTCAGTTGACTCGCAAACCGACGCTGTCATCCAGAGAGTAATTCGAGAGGACTTCTTGAACTGTACCATTATCACCATTGCTCACAGAATTCCTACAGTTATAGACTGCGATAGGGTGTTAGTCATAGACGATGGTGAGTCTCTCAATCTTAAACTGAGCAAAAAGACTAAATGGTCTGCTTTAACGACCCCCCCCCCCCCCCCCCCCCCGCTTATTCCCTCATTATTTAATTTATCTGAGAGCAACAGCAATTAAACCAACCTCGTTTCTTCTTCTCGATATTAATTATTGTGTGTCCTATTACAGGGTGGGCAAAGGAGTACGATGCACCAACTAAGCTGATGGAGAGACCATCACTGTTTGGGGCTTTGGTTCAAGAGTACTCCCAGAGATCATCAGGGTTATAGGAACCTTTTATGCTGCAATTGGCCTCTGCAAGATCATTCATGAAGCATTTTGAGATTATTATTATTGCTTCTATAATGTACATTGAGAAAATATAACGAAAACTATTTACAGACAATAAGGTGCTCAGATTCCACTATAAACTTAAAAATCAAGATTTGTGCTTCAGTTTATGTGTATCAAACTATCAAGAGTTAGTCAAGATGAAACTTTTCTAGGTATAAATATCATCATTACTTAAATCCCATCATATATAGTTAACCTGATACTCGGACAAAAGACATAACCAGGGCCTTGGTTATGCAGCCTTTTTTGCTCATAGAGGCGAACACCGCTTATGGTCCAAAACCTTGTTTGGACTCTGCAACTGTTTTCTACATCCCACTCATGGGTAAAAATATTTAATGTTGTTTAGGCTGCAGTTCTTATGTTAATAGGGGCTCACATCATGCGTGCGGATAGCCATGGTTCTGAATTCGTGTTACTTTATTAAGATTTTGATTTCATATTTAAAAGCCTTAGGATCAAGGCCATATATGTTGGTCGGTTATTGTATGCAGGGGCGGAGCCAGGAATTTGGTTCAGCAGGGTCAGAAACTAAAGACAATATATTTAAAACCTAAAAATAGTCTGAATACAAAGAAGATCCAAGAAAAGAGTTGGATAAAACATAAAGAAGAGTAAACGGACGTACATGATTATGCCGTAGTGCGTGGTAGCAAATGGTGACGTTCCCTCATATTCTGAAATCGTTGTAAAATTTTATTATTCGGCACACTGTCAAAGATGTCTTTTTCAAAATATGGCACCAGACAATCACTTAGCATATCATCGCTCATACGATTCTGCAATGAGCTTTTAATTATCTTCATTGCAGAGAACGCTCTTTCTACACTGGCAGTCGCAACCGTTAAAATCAAAACCAACTTCAGAAGCAAAAAAAAAACAAAGTGTAGTCCACATGTCTCCTAGTGTCCACCATTTTTTAGCTACCTCATCAATACCAACCAAATCAGAGAAGTCGACATCGGATCTCACATCAATAATATAACTCTGAAGTTGATTATCCAGCACTTCCAACTCAATCTCAGAAAAATTATTCGGATAAAAATTCGCAAGCCGAAATTAACTTTTCTTTATTGAATCTAGCAAATGAGTTCCTTGGATCAAAACATGCTACACAAAGAAGTAACTCTGTGTCTTTCTCATTGAAACGATCATTCAACTCCTCGTATTGACGATCCAAGACCATATAAAATCTCTCAAAATGATATCTATGAAGATTTTTCGTTTCTTGAATGTTACAGCTTGACCTTCCTAGAGCTACATACACATCATCCATGTTAGGGATATCAATCTCATGTTGGTTACAAAACATTGGTACCTCGTCTAACAAAGTCTCCCAACCACCGCTTCGCAAAACTAAGTTGATAAATTTTTCTATGTTCATTTTTAGTTGCAATAGTTTTTAATCACGTTAGGAGAGTAAAAGGAACTACATTTCAGTGTTCATTCATAAATCATAATATTGGCTGGACTTATCATATACCAGTTACCATTTTGCATCTAATATATGGTTTTGTCTCGTGGTGTTACATTGATAGTCACGTCCAGTGGCGGACCCAGAAAGTCGGAGCCACGGGGTCCCTACCCTTTTATATCTATAATCCCTAATTAATATAAAACTAAGGTCATTTAGAAAATGAAGTGACATAAATAACCGTTCATTTAGAAAATTAATAACCGTTCGTTTAGAAAAATAATATTTATGTCACAGATAGAAAGATAATATCCTATAACTATAGTATGTTTATTCCAATAATTTTCTAAACGAACGGTTATTTATGACACCTTAAAATAATAAACAGGGAAAATAACTTTAAATAATACAAACTATCTTTGATGAACCAATAATAATACATACTTTAGAAATAGAGTCACTTTTTTAAAATGGAGTGTAGAACAAAAATAAAATGGAGTCACTTTTTTAAAAAAAATCCACTAATTTAAGACATTAAAACTAATATCGAACCAATAAATAATATTCGGAAATACGCTTACTAACTTTATATTTTGATACCAGTTTTTTATGAATTACTCCGTAAATGACTAATGTTTTAGTAAAGAATTGCTATGCATTAGAGCCCGTTTGGCAGCACGAAAATTGGCTATTTTGGCTGATTCCGCTGAAATATATGAAGTTCTGGCTGAAGTGGCTACATTGGCTGATTCTGTTGTTTTAAGAAAAAATTCTTTTTAAAATATATTTTATTAATAAAATAAAGAAAAAATTATATGTAAAAATAGCTAAAATGGTCATCTACAATAACTTCAGCCAATACAGCCAGAAAAGTAACTCCAACCTTACTTTTTCTGCTTATTACACAATTCAGCGCGCGCAAGCAAACTTACGTGTTTGGTGAAAAAGTTGGTTGATAAGCCTGATAAGCTGAAAAACAGTGTTGCCAAACGCTCTCTTAGTGTTAGTACTATTATGTTGTTATCCCTTGCCAAAAAAAGTTGTTTTCCCTAATAAATAGTGGGAAATCAAAAAGTGATGCCTAAGGGAATCGATCCCTGCCCCTCCAAGAAGTGGGTACTTTTAAATTCAAGGACACTTCCATTGCTCCAATGTTAACTTCATGTTCTCAATTAGCTTTCGCCTTACATATACATTGTATTATTAATTTATATAAAATGCATATAATATATATAGGTATTTTTTTGAAAGTTCATGGGGTCCCGAGACCCCATGGGACCCTTGGTGGGTCCGCCACTGGTCACTTCCCTTAAAAATACGTTATTTTATTTGTGTTTAAACTAATCTTAAAATAATAAAATTTTGAATATTTAGTTTACATTATTTTAACTCTGATATCAAAATTCCATGAAATGGTAAATTTAAAAGTTTCTGATAACTTAAGTTATTTTTTTTATCATAATAACTTATGTTATGTAATGGTCATTACTTTTTTCAGCCGCTTTAAAATTTTAAGTCAACCACCACTTGGCGATTATATCGGATAAAAAAACTTATAGTCCCTTTTTTGGCTATAGCAACATGTTGAATCATTTCAATTATGGTAAAAAAAAATCATTATGAAATGCTATAACTGAAAAGAATATTACTTGTCACAGCTTCCTTGGCGGACTTGTGATGAACATTAGCCACAAGAATCATAGGGAGTAACATATTTCACTCCCAACTTATTATAAAATCCCTCCAAGACTTTTTTTATTACTTTCTAATCCAAAAATTAAATCTTATCACCGAGATAGAGAATTAATAGAAAAAATGGGTGATCAAAAACAATTGGTAGTGTTCGGTTTAGACGACAGTGATCATAGCTTCTACGCCCTGGAGTGGACCCTTGACCACCTGATTATTCCCACGACTTCCGCTTTCAAGCTGCTCATTATCCACGCAAGGACTAGTCCCACCGGCGTCATTGGACTCGCAGGTCCAGGTAATTAAAACTTCTCATATCAGTTATAAACATTAGACTGTTTTGTCCTCAAACCCAAATAATAAGAAGTGAAAAACTGAATTATTGTTTGAATGATGAAATAGTGTGCTGGAATGAAGGATAAATTCAAAACATATTGAGGGTATGATGAAAATTTTGAAATCAATTATTGCGGGTAGAATAAAAAATTAGTGTATTTTCATTTTCATATTTAGAAATGAGGAGATTATTTAATTATGGTTGATAAGGAAAGTGGGAATTTTTTTGATAAGGAAGGAGTAATTGATATAGAGAGCATTCATCTCGTACATTTCAAATATTGCCCGTTTCATTATATTGATTGAAGCCGACAATTGGTGAAATTATAGTTAAAATTACTTAATCTATTGATTTGTATATGAATAAATTAAATTTAAAAAATAAAAATATATTTATAATTATAAAAAAGAAAAATATATAAAAAAAGCAAATAAAATCAGCAAATTCATCAAAAAAGTAAATTCAACATTATTTGTTTTAATTGATAAAAAGTGAAAGCATTTGGTAAAAATAGTTGGTTGATAAAACGGATAAACCGGGATTCAAACTAATCACCTCATAAAATAACACCCAGGAAGGTTAAGATATTTACCATATTCGATATGATTGAGTAAATATTGTACGAAAAAACTGTTGGTACACATATATTGTACAAATTTTGTGTACATCCCCCAAGTTGTCTATATACACATGCAACTTGTTCAGAAGCTGCTTGTACACAGACAACTAGAAGGGTTTACGCAAAGTGTGTACAACTTATGTGTACACCAAGAATGATCCAATATTATATACTTCGTATCACAGTTAGCTATATATGTTAAGTTGTCTAACATTGTCTGTTTGAAAAGAAAAGTATGAACTCACTCACATATAGGGTGTGATGGGTCGGTTGTGAATTGAAGGAGCAAGCGATGTGGTAGAAGCGGTGGAGAGTGATGTGAAGAGGACAGCCACAAAAGTGATGGAGAAAGCCAAGGAAGTATGCAGCAATAAAGGAGTGAAAGAGGTGGAATTCGAAGTTCAAGATGGTGATGCCAGGAATGTTGCATGTGATGTTGTTGACAAACACCATGCAACTCTCTTGGTCTTGGGTAGCCATGGCTATGGAACTTTCAAAAGGTGTGTCATTTCTTTCTTCTACATCAAATTCAAGAATCTCGTTTAGTAACACTGAAATTATTGATGGAATCGGTTGAAAATGGATTAAATTATGTTAAAAAATAATTTTAAAAATGTGATGCAAAATCAAATATTAACCCTAACATGAGATAACATGGGATTGAAACTTCCTCATGTCTTTTTACTTTTGTGAGGTAGTCCAAATGTATGGTGTGAAAGATTATACGTGAAACATATAAATGGTACCTTAACTATTGGTATTGTTGCGTTTTGGTACCTCGACTCTTTAATGAATCAAATCGGGTCAAATGCATAAATGGTACCATAACTATTGGTAATGTTGCATTTTGGTACCTTAACTCTTAAATGAATCAAAACGGTACCATAACTAGTAGTTAATTATACATAAATGTTTTGAATTAAGATTTTATTCAAATTTCCGACCAAAAAATCACATGTAGCGGCCAGAATTCTATGCATAAAGTCTACTTCCCATTATTTTTGCCCATATGATCACTCTAGGGTGACTCTACACATGGAATTTTGATCGTCATAAAGGATTTTTTGGTCGAAATTTTAAATAAAATCTCAATTCGAAACATTATGTATAGTTAAGGAAGGTACCATTTTGAATCAGTTAAGAGTTAAGGTACCAAAATTCAACATCACCAATAGGTAAGGTATCATTTATGAATTTGACCCGAATCAAATCAGTACCATAACTATACATACATGTTTCAACTTGTAATTTTATTCAAATATTTGACCAAAAAATCATACGTGGTGGCCGGACTTTTATGCATAAAGTCTACTTCAGGTCTACACATTGATTTTTGATCGTCATGGGGATTTTTTTTTTTGCCACAAATTTGAATAAAATTGAAAGTTGAAACATTTATGTATAGTTATGGTACTGATTTTATTCATTTAATAGTTTAAGAAGCTAATCAAGCCATTAGAATTTTATTTTATATATGTTTCAGAAATGTCCATTTTAGTAGTACAATCACACAAAATCCGATTTCGATTGTATTGTATAGATTAGACGAATAAGTAATTAATGTTTTAAAGTATCTATTCGCATAGATTAATTAATAATGATATGATTTGTCATTTAATTTGTAGGGCGGTTCTTGGGAGTGTGAGTGACTACTGCTCTCACCATGCCAACTGTTCTGTAATGATCGTGAAGAAATCAAAATGCTCAAAGCTCCACGCCGTTAATCAGACTTTTCAAGTAATTAATTAGGAAAATTCTTTGTGTCGTTGCTTAATTAGCTAGGGACGCACATGGGGGTTATGTAGTCTAGATTCTAGAATCACAACCCCAATTTCAGCTCTTCCATTTCTAAGTGTGTCAATTTAAAGTAAGAAGATTATTATTTGATGAATGTAGTTCTCTATAATTCTTAAACTTTTGCTGTAGTTATGCTTGTGCACCCATGCCTCATATTTTAAAAACATAAGTAACCAGGGGCGTAGATCACCTGGTATAAAGAGAGTGCGACAAGAGAGTGATCTCGGGTTCAACTCCAAGCAAAGACTTAGTATGGAGCCTCACTTTATTTTCATTGATGTGATATCAAAGCTCAATTTATCCTCCCAGATAACTGTCTGGTCGGACCTGGGGGCCATCATGGATGGGGTGTCATCCTTTTTGAAAAAACATAAGTATGAATACGATTTTTAGAACTCAAAAGGGTCTTTCCAACAAGATATGAAACATTTCAAATGCAAAACAACACAGAAGTATATGGTCAAGTCATCGTCAACACGACAACTATTTTTAGTTTATGAGTGGTACGTAACTATCGCTTAATGTTTTGTAAACGAAGTTTGAATAACAGTCTTAAAACTTGATAAGAACTCTCCAACGAGCTATAAAATGCTTGGAACGGATCACAATACAATAAGATATGATCAAATCAAATACTACACGAGTATGGAGTAAACTCTGAAATACATGAATTAGATTATGAATTTCCAGTTAATATGTTCTACTCCTTAATACATAGCAAATGAAGTCTAAACATGGGAACTATAACTCAAAACATTCTTTCCAATGAGATATAAAACGCTTGATACGGAAGAACATACAACAAGATATGATCAAATCAAATATTTAGCCTGTTTTTTGTAATGTAGCATTTTCAGAGTAAATAGAACATATTTGGTCTAACCGCCAAAACTTTTAATAGGGATTGTAAGTCTATAAGACTTACTCACTTAAGTATAAGTTATTTATTGATTATGTGCACTGGTAGCTTATACTTTCATTTGAGTATTGTAATAATATTGATGTCATATTATGTACTCCCTCCATCCCAAAATGAGAGTCCCATGCTTTTTGTGCTCACATGTTAAGAAAGAGGGTTAAAAAAACCTATTTTGCCCATATGAGCATTACTCCTCACCTGTCTAATCCCAACCCCCAACCCCCTTGGTTACTGCGCGCTACAGTATATACTTGTATTGTAGCTCCATTTTTTCCAAACCATTTGAGATGCACAAAGTAAACAACTTAAGCCACACACCATTAAATTTCAATTTGGAGGGAAAACCAAGTGTCAACTTCACAATTCCCTCCCGAACATTCATTTTTACAATAGGAATCAGTCCAAATACACATGGGGGAAAGAACAATACACATATTCAAATTACATAAGGCTTTACAACTATAAATACAACATTCATTGAACCCTATCTAACACTTCTTCCTCATTCAATGGCTTCCATGCCAAAGTCATCTGCAAAAAGAACAAAAAGATTGTCAAATACAGAAAGAGATAACATAAAGGAGTATTTCTTGAAAAATGTTGATGGGTTTGGCGAACTTCAGCGTGGGGTTATAAATAAAGCTGCACAAGAATTCCAAGTTTCAAGAAGAGCAATTTACAGAATTTGAAGTCTTGTAAGAAACCAAGTAAACAACGGGGAGGGCATAGATGTCAGTCACAAATTGACAGGCAACGTAGGCAGAAAAAGAATTTGTGTTCCTCTGAACACTTTCATGGACATTCCTTTAAGCAAAAGGACAAATATCAGGTCAGTTGCTCGTGCTCTAGCTATTTCAAGAAGTATATTTCACATAATGAAGCAAAGGGGAAGTGAAAGCACATACAAGCACCATAAAACCTTTTTTAATTGTTGACAAGAAGAAAGCAAGGTGTGTGTTTTGCTTACAACACCTTATCCCTTCCTCAGTTCAGGGAAATCCAAGTTTTCAAGATTTTGGTGCTTATACTCACATAGACGAAAAATGGTTTAATCTTACTAAAGTGATGACAAGATGGTATTTGCGTGAAGGTGAGGAACCACAAGACAGGCATGCCAAATCAAAGAGGTCTATCACAAAAGTGATGTTCTTGTGTGCAGTGGAAAAGCCAATAATTGGTAATGATGGGGAAGCTATTTTTGATGGAAAATTGGCATTTGGCCATTTGTTGAACAAGTTGCACCCACCAGAAACAGCAAAAATGGGCCAAAAAATACCATGCAAACGAAGTCATTTTATCGGTCATAAAAATAGTCTACAGGAACATGCTACTCACGAAGTTGATCCCAGCTATAAAAAGTAAGTGGTCATCATAGTTGGGTAGGAAATTGGTCATTCAACAAGACAATATTAGGCCACATATTAGCACACCAGATGAAGCATTTATTGAGGCATCAACATATGAGGGGTGGGACATAATAATGGTTATGCAACCACCTAATAGTCCAAATCTAAATGTGTAACACCCCCAAATTTATACCCGAAATTGGTGCTAAATACAGCAGGTGTAGAAAGAATTTCCCAAAACATTTAAGTTCAAAACGGTTTCAATTGCAGCGGAAGCAAAAGATTCAATGGGTGTTACCGCCACACTCGGTTCTCACCTAACCGAATGCACAGGCTAAACCACCATCCAAAAATAATCCAAGTATTTAAGTACTGAAAATTTCAAAAGAATAATTTAAATGTCTACATGTTCTCAAACTGAAATAAACAATAACTATGTGATTATAAATACTAAACTACTTAATCTAACGCAGGTCTCATCATCATGCATAACCTTCATCACCTGCACAATTAAAGTGAAGAAAACAAAACAAAGAAAAAGAAACAAAAATTAGCTTTTTAGCTAACTAAGGCCCACCCAACCCCGTAAAATAATCACGTTTGGCGAAAATAGTTTTTATTACATACTATATCTTTGAAAATCCATTTTCTTCCCACAAAACTACTTTCATGTTTAAAATGATCTTTATTAACTCTAAATAACTCACACCTTCATATAAGAGTATCACTTTTCAAAAATAACCTTATATCTAATCACTCGTTCTAAATATACTCAATTTCTCTTTGAAAATAATCTCCATAATCCTCTTTCCAAAATGTAACTTTACAAAAATACCACTTCCCCAAAAATATACAATTAAACCTCAAAACTGTCGGGGTGATTACTGACCCACCATAAAAATTGTTGGGGTGATTACCGACCCACCATCCTACATATATCCGGATGTAGAAACCGACATCACGGATTACTACCGGGTGCTCAAAACCAAAACCCTGCATTTATCCGGATGCAGAAACCGACACCACGGGTTATTACCGGGTGCTCCAAACCAAAATCCTAAATTCATCCGGATGTAGAAACTGACACCACAAGTTACTATCGGGTGCTCAAAACCAAAACCCTGCATTTATCCGGATGCAGAAACCGACACCACGAGTTACTATCGGGTGCTCAAAACCAAAACCCTGCATTTATCCGGATGCAGAAACCGACACCACGGATTTCTCCCGGGTGCTCACCTCTTATGAAAATATTTATTTTTATCTTGAATCAAGATATACTTCAAAATATTTCTCAACCTCTCTAAATAGTCTCAAAGGTATTTATAAATATTTAAACCCCCAAAGTACTTAATTTGTATTTCTCAAATACCATGGATATAATACCTCCTCAAAATCACATACACATAATTCAAAAAACACAATTTTAGCCATAGCAAACTGATTTGATAAATTCACCAAAACTCACACGTTCATAAATTACCAGAAAATCATACATCATCATATCTATATTATAATAACCGAATTACCCATAAAATTTAAGAAAGAAACTCAAATCATAGCACAAACCCTAAATAATACATAATAGGGGCAAAATAGTAATTTTGGTTGCAATAGTCCTTACCTCGAGGCTAGCAACGAATCATAAACGTAAAACCTATCTTGATGGGTCACTCACACGTCCCTAGGAAGTGATAGGGTCAAAGGATCACAATTTAAGAGAAAGAAATCAAGAAAACGGATACACGGTGCGAATTAGGCAACAAACGTACTTACCGAAAGATTGGATTGTTTGATCACGTTCTTGGACTCAAAAATCGTGTTGTTTATGTTAATATTTAAGATCTGGAATAGATAGAGCTTGAAGAGTCGGTCTTAGGGTTTTTGGAATGAGGAAAATCGGATTAGGGATGTATTTATAGTGAATTTCCGAAGTTTGAGTCGCATTAGGATAAAACAAGGACGCACGTGTGCCTCCCAATCCACGCACGCCGTGTGTGCCTGGCAGTAGCTATTCCGCTTGATTTTCTTGCCACACACGCTGTGCATGAACCCACGCACGGCGTGCATGACCCCTAGGCGCCCCAAACCTTGGTTTTTGCCCCGTTTCTTCCCCGTTTGAACCTCCCCTTGGTCCCAAACAATAAACCAACCATAATAAACTACCTAAAGACCATCTAAACGATATGAAACACAATTTTAATTATTTCCCAAATTCTCTCAAATTTTCGGGGTATTACAAAATGTATTGGACTTGGGGTTTTTGGAATGAGGAAAATCGGATTAGGGATGTATTTATAGTGAATTTCTGAAGTTTGAGTCGCATTAGGATAAAACAGGGACGCACGCGTGCGTACCTTCCACGCACGCTGTGCGTGGCTGACAGTAGCTATTCCGCTTGATTTTCTTGCCACACACGCCGTGCATGATCCCACGCACGTCGTGCGTGACCCCCAGGCGCCCCAAACCTTGGTTTTTGCCCCGCTTCTTCCCCGTTTGAACCTCCCCTTGGTCCCAAACAAAAAACCAACCATAATAAACTACCTAAAGACCATCTAAAGTCTAAACGATATGAAACACAATTTTAATTATTTTCCAAATTCTCTCAAATTTTCAGGGTATTATGTATCCGGATGTAGAAACCGACACCACAAGTTACTATCGTGTGCTCAAAACCAAAACCCTGCATTTATCCGGATGCAGAAACCGACACCACGGATTTCTCCCGGGTGCTCACCTCTTATGAAAATATTTATTTTTATCTTGAATCAAGATATACTTCAAAATATTTCTCAACCTCTCTAAATAGTCTCAAAGGTATTTATAAATATTTAAAACCCCAAAAGTACTTAATTTGTATTTCTCAAATACCATAGATCTAATATCTCCTCAAAATCACATACACATAATTCTAAAATCACAATTTTAGCCATAGCAAACTGATTTGATAAATTCACCAAAACTCACACGTTCATAAATTCCCAGAAAATCATACATCATCATATCTATATTATAATAACCGAATTACCCATAAAATTTAATAAAGAAACTCAAATCATAGCACAAACCCTAAATAATACATAATAGGGGCAAAATAGTAATTTTGGTTGCAATAGTCCTTACCTCGAGGCTAGCAACGAATCATAAACGTAAAACCTAGCATGATGGGTCACTCACACGTCCTTAGTAAGTGATAGGGTCGAAGGATCACAATTTAAGAGAAAGAAATCAAGAAAACGGATACACGGTGCGAATTAGGCAACAAACGCACTTACCGGAAGATTGGATTGTTTGATCACGTTCTTGGACTCCAAAATCGTGTTGTTTATGTTAATATTTAAGATATGGAATAGATAGAGATTTAAGAGTGGGTCCTAGGGTTTTTGGAATGAGGAAAATCGGATTAGGATGTATTTATAGTGAATTTCCGAAGTTTGAGTCGCATTAGGATAAAACAGGGACGCACGCATGCCTCCCAATCCACGCACGCCGTGCGTGGCTGGCAGTAGCTATTCCGCTTGATTTTCTTGCCACACACGTCGTGCATGACCCCAGCACGCCGTGCGTGATCCCCAGGCGCCCCAAACCTTGGTTTTTGCCTCGTTTCTTCCCCGTTTGAACCTCCCCTTGGTCCCAAACAATAAACCAATCATAATAAACTACCTAAAGACCATCTAAACGATTTGAAACACAATTTTAATTATTTTCCAAATTCTCTCAAATTTTCGGGGTATTACAAAATGTATTGGACTTGGGGTTTTTCAACTCCACTTAGTCATTGCAATACCAAGGTTGTAGCAAAACAGTTGATGAATTGATTGGTAATGTACAAGATGCATTTAAAAACTTGTCAGCCACCACACTCAACTATGTTTGGTTAACACTACAACTTACAATGAGTGAAGTACTTAAGGTCAAAGGTGGCAACAACTAGAAGCTTAAACACATTGGAAAACATAGACTTGCAAGGCAAGGTAACCTGCCTACAAACATTGAAGTGGAAACAAGCAAGCCTTTTTTGCCATTAAATACCCATTAAACAGGCTGCAATAACACATGTGAATGGGCCATTAAATACCCATTAAACAGGTCAAGCAAGCCTTTTTTGCCAATCAACCTCTCAGTTCACTCATTTATCATCATAGAGATGTGGTTATACAACTCTCTGGTAAGTGAGTTATCTTCAAAGAGGGTTGTTATTTGGTTTTCGGAAAAAAGGTCAAATAAACCCTCCTATTATTCCGAAACCATCACTTAAGTCCCCGAACTTTAAAAAGAGTCACACGCGCACACTTACTCTGTAAATAAAGTCAAATAAGTCATTTGACTGGCCAAGCACCTGCAAATCCCGGTTAGTTGCTTAGGTGTACTAAATTTAACCCAATCTGCTAAGGGCTTCCTCTTTGAGTGTTGACATGGCATATTTTTTCCAACGTGGATTATGAAATCCCAGAGTTCAAATTGTTCGAACATCATTCGCGCGTAGGGTTTCAGTTTTGAATCGCGATCGAAGGCAGCGATGGCGGATAACAAAATTGTAGGGATTTGAGAATGATGTGGTCGTGTCCATCTCCATCGATGAGCTAATTCATGTGCACTCGTACCGCTTCGAAGTTCCAAGTAAGGGTATTTACCTGCAAATGGGTTTATCGTCAAGCTGTTAATCTTTTCTGGAGTCATTTTATGTTTTTTCCCGTTCATCATATGTATATTTTTCAATGCCTCGAGCTCACACCATTACTCTCGATCCAGATAAAATTTCTTATATGTAGTAGTAGTACCCTAGGGTTGAGGGTTTTGAACAGGAAGTTTGAAGGCCATAGTGGCCGTTCGGTTCCTACTTTTTGCTTATCTGCCAGGTCTTTTAACACTAATTTGTTTTAATTGTCCATGTTGAATTGGTTTAATTAATAAGTGGTTGATTAATAAGTGGTTGACTGGAGTTACTTTTCTATAAGTTGCTAAAGTTGATCATACTAGGCATTTTTCATGTATCTTTTTGTTTAACTTATCAATAAAATATATTTGATTAATTTGTTTACATTGTAGAATGTTTTTGGAAGTAGAGTTAAGAATACATCATGGGGGGGAATTTTGTTAAACAAGCTGAAGTGGCATACATAAATGGTGAGGTGCACACCATTACTCTCGATCCAGGTAAAATTTCTTATCCGCATCTGTTAAAATATATCACTAAGGATGCATACAAGAAGGTGAAATCCTTATCCTTTAAACTACCTGGGGAGAAGATGGAGGAGTTAAAGTCATTATGGAATGATGCAACTACTCTTCAGCTTATGGAGATGGCAACTAATCGGGGGGTAATTGACATCTATGTGGAGCATGGTATTGATGAGCCTGAATTAATTTCTTCCTTTGCTTTGCCTTCAACTATAAATGCTAAGACAGATGTAGAGACAGAAGAGAGGGGTCAAGCAGAACATGTTGCCAATGAGAATGAAGTGCACAAAGAAATGCCACAATTTGAAGAAGAAATAGAAGAAGAAGAGCTTTTACATTCAGGCGAGGATCAAACTTCAGAGGAAGAGGAGGAGGATGCCGATAATGGTGATGATGCAAAGCTAAGAGAGAAGCAAATGGCCCGGGTAAAGAACAAAAACAAGACGACCACTGATGAGTTGCTTTCAGATGAGGAAGATGAGGGAGTATCTAGTCAATATTATGACTCAGATGAACCTCCCAGCTATTACTCAGAATCTGAAAAAGAGGAGGTCCAAATTTCAGAGGTCCAGTCTAAGGTGCAAGAAAGACATAAAGTTCCTTCATACAATCCAGCTTCAGAATCCAAGGAATTAGAATTGGATATGTTGTTTGAAGATGGCATACAATTCAAAACAGCCCTGATTAATTATGCAGTGCATAATAAGAGAGATATTAGGTGGGTGAAGAATGAGCCAAGAAGAATTCAAGCACAGCGTGAAAATAAGAAGTGTCCCTTTAAGTGCACTACTTCATGGGCTGAACAGTACAAGTGTATTCAGATGAAGACTTGGGTTGGGACCCATAGATGCAATGAAAAGTTCAAGTTGAAGATAGTCAGTCAGAAATGGCTAGAAGATAAGTTTGAAAATAAAATCAGGGATAACCCAAGCATTGGAGTTTTCTGCCAAGAAGATAGTCTGCCAAGTGATCTGGGAAGCATGGCCCGCGTGTAATGAAGAAGCTGAATGCTAACATACTTCACAGTATGGGCTGGAAGGTTAGTATGCATACCTATAACAATATACATACTTTAGTAATAATTTTATTATATATGTTAAAGCATAACTTACTCATGCATAACAGGTAGTATTTAATGGGGATGATGGGTACGAGGTAAAGAGAGGGAGGCATCAGTTTCAAGTGCATCTAAAAGGAAAATCTTGCTCTTGTAGAGCATGGGATTTAAGTGGGATTCCTTTCCCGCATGCAGTTTGTACTATATTTGACAAGGGTGATGAGCCGGATGATTATGTTGATAATTGCTATTCGAAGGACCTGTATGAGCAGATCTACTCCCATCATTTGGAACCAATGAACGGGGAGTTGTTATGGCAAAAGACACAAAATAATGACATCCCCCCTCCAATTCCCAAAAAACTAACTGGAAGACCAAAGAAGAAAAGAACTCGTGAAGCGAGTGAAGTTTCATCATCTTCCAAGGGTAGGACAACAGTTTCTCACAAAGGAAGAGTTATGAAGTGTTCTATATGCAAGGAGGCAGGGCATAATAAAGCAAAGTGCCCAAAAAAATCCACAGACACACAACCCACAACGACAACAACGACAGAGGTAGTATGCAAGCCGTCAAAAAGAAGAGGTAAAACAAAAGGAAAAGAAGGATGTGATAGACCTCAAAAGAAAAGAAGAAGCCATAAGGGTTTTGGGATTTACATAGAACCTGATACAGGAGAAACTATTGTAGATGTAAGTTTTTAGTTCATTTAGTCACGTGTAATTCTTTGATATATACAAGTACATTATACATGCTATTTTTTTTGTAGCCTGGACTTCGAAGTGAACAAGTACTATAAGATGGGAACTGCTAGATTGGAGAAGTGATCGTAGAAGTGAACTGCTAAACTGGATTTTGTTCAGGGATGAAACCCCTTTGGTTTTGTAATGTGTCATTTTGTTCATGGCTATAAATGCCCTTTTTGTATGTAGCTTATGCTAAACTGGCCTTTTTGTTCATGGCTATAAATGCCCTTTTTGTATGTAGCTTATGCTAAACTGGCCTTTTTGTTCACGGCTATAATTTTTGTTCAAATTATAACAGAATGCCATTTCATTGCTTAAATTTTAGTGGCAGTTTATAAAAGAAGTTTTCTTCTGGCAGTTTTCACTTGCTATATAAAGAAGCATCCTTGTGGCAGTTTTTCAGTAGTTCTCTGTACATATATGCTCAGTCCTAGGTGCATTGTAATGTTCGGATTCTGGTGGAGTATATGGCCGGGATGCACGGTTCATATACTCTAAAGATAACTGAGTTGGAGTCAATGGATACTTTGGTTTATTTCGTTGAAACCTCCTGAATTTTCTACTTCTGTTTAAGCTAAAAGCTATTTATTCTGCTAATAACCTGAATGAGCTATACATAGCTACCAAAAAGAGCCTCACTTAACATTACAATGTCAATCTTGCAGCTCACTATTCCTCAAATTAGGGCCAAAATGGAAAAAATTCTCACATGGCTTCTTCCAGTAGCTACTGATACTACAAAATAGTAACCACTGCTGGTTGTTTCACAAAAATATATGACTTTTAACTCAGCATCCTTGTGGCAGTTTATAAAACAGAAAATCAGATCTGGAGCAATAAATAATTCAGATCTAATACATTAGCATTAGAATATTGTCATGGTTGTTACAGAAATTTCATAGGACCAAAGGTCTACATAAAGTACCACAAACATACTATCTAACATACATTGCAACTTCATGAATTAATTTCTTTAACACTACACAAATGAACATAAACATTGCTACGATCACAACTAGCACAAAACCAACTAAGAATCTAAATCTCTTATTCTCATCAATGTCAGTCTGCACTGCTGCGTTCACACGAAAATTTTTGTCCCTTAAATCATAAACCACCGTCGCTAACTCCTCCAAGCTCACTCTAGGCCGTTGTAGTTGTTGTATATTACTTTCATCTTTCCAACAAAAATATCCACAAGCTTTTCCTTCCTGAAACAAATTGTAATAAGTGTAAATAATTCTGATCACATTTACAATATTTCCCAATATAGAGATACTAGGATTCAAGAACATATTTCAAACCCATTCTAGTTCCTCCCAAATACATACTGCCTCCAATTGTATATCAATTCCATCAAAAAAATTAAAGCAAAGTGTGCAAATTTAGCTTCATTTACCTTCCATCCTTGACATCCGTAGAACTTACGACCGCTTTATCTGGAAACACAAAGTGGAGCCTTCAAACCACAATAACAATAAAAGTTGGGTTCGTAGTTCAGATCCAGAATTTCCTTTCTGTTCGAAGCAAACGAAGATGAAGACATTTCAGAAGAAGGAGATCATTTGCGTCGATGTGCTCTGCAGTTTCAGACTTTCAGTCGATGAAGATGTCCTTTGCGTTTCTGGGGTTACTTCTATTCGTAGATTGGAAAGAACGCAAGTTAGGTTTATATTTAGGGCTAAAGGGAAGCCTGTTCTGCTGATGTGGAATAAAATGCCAGATAGGGTAAAAAAACGGGACACGTAAGCCTTTACCGGGAGTTCCATGTTACTAACCGGTCATTTGACCCATATGACGGTTTCGGAATAGTAGGAGTGTTTATTTGACCCTTTTTCCTTTGGTTTTTTATGCTAGGCATTATATATGCAGGCAGTACTATATTATTGTGTTTTTGCACTCTGCACCATATATATGTAGCCAACATTAATTAACAATGTCACAGAGGTTATATGTTAACCATAGGATGCACAACATGTTAACAATGTCACAGAGGTTATATGTAAGTTTATACATCTCTCAGACAATGTCTTAGTCATCATAGAGGTTGCATTGATGTCATACAACCCCTCAGACACCTTGTTTGTCATTATAATGTCCAAATGGTGCAAATAACACAAACATGGGTGGCAATCAAACAAAATCATACCACCTCCTACGTGTAAGGTCAATTGTCATTATAGAATTCAACCTCTCAACCTCTCATACACCCCCATTGACATCACAGAGGTTTTATTGAAGTCATACACCTCTCAGACATAAAGGAGTTTATCATCATAGAGGTGTCATCAAAGAATACTTAACAGTTCAACTAACAAAGCCATATCACACAAAGCAAAGGAATCACAATACTAACATCAACACCATCAACCCCGAAAGTATTAACCAAAATGGGTGGCAATCAGAACAATCATATCACCTCCAACATTTAGGTAAACAAATACACAAATAATATAACCTCACAGTTTCGCATAATCAGTTAAGCCAAACAAAACAAGCAAACAATTTGGACATAGCGACAGAGAGTTAGATATACGTACCTCGCAACAACTTAGGGAGGATAGTTCAAGCATAGTTGGCCTACTTTCCATCGACATACATATCTAGATCGCTCAGGTATTGCTAATCCTCCTCTATCTTTGCCCCCAACTTAAAAAACATGCGAGAAGTTAGGGCTTTTTCAGGTCTCGAAGCATCTGTTGGCTCTCCACCCTTTTCTTCTCCTCCAGCGTTGTCTGTCTGCGCATCCTCCTCAAAAGATTGCAAGAATAGATCTGCATGGCCCTCTGACTCAAGATAAGGACAATAGCTTTCCAGAAACACTTCATCTGAATGGATGATGGTTTCAACGGAGTGGCCGAACTGATCCAATGCCATGCACACACTTCAATTTGAAGAAGAAAAAGAAGTAGGGGTTAGAGCGATGAGAGGAGAATAGTGAGAGATGAATACAGATAAGCTGGGAGGGATATAGAAGAAGATGGAGCATGAGAATGTCAATAGATGAGTTGTGGCGGTTAAATGAGGTGTGCGAATAAATGAGGCGGGTGGGGTAGATAAGATAGGAGGGTATATGTGGAAAACCATTTTGGTTTCCTTACTAAAAATAAAAATGGGACTATCACTTTGGGACAACCCAAAATGGAAATACGGGACTCATTTTGGGACGGATGGAGTAACTAATAGTTTTGGTCACTAAGTAGTCTGCCATAAATCGCCGTAAAAAGCACTGTTGGCATCACATGTCAACATTCATAATGGTTGTGCTGTTGTTTATGGCAGCCTAGAGCACAAGCGAGCGCATTCGCTACATAAACCATTTGTAAATGGCTAAAGATATGAGACCAGTAACAGACACACACATAAATTACAAGACTAAATCATCATTAATTTTAAAGTCTATCAAGAACTTAATGTCCTCCGTAAATTGTGGCACATTGTGTCATAAAACCCTAAACTAAGCATTTCTTTATATTATAAACATTCCATTATTAACTCCAATATAGCAAAAAACCTAGCAATCGTCTCCCCTCTTTGTAGGGGTTGAGATTTTCCGCCGCCCCTATCAATATGAGGCTGGAGTGGTAGATTATACTCATTTTAAGTGTTCTAACGCATGAGATTACAGCTACGTCGGAGGAGATAATGTTGGCAATGAACGGATTGTGGCTGAGAGTTTGTATCTGTTCTGGATCGTGTAGCTTTGGTCGGCTGCTCCAACGGTGGTGGAGTTAGTATTCACCCATATTGCAAGAGCTTGTATTCCTCCGGAACCATCTCCGTACCATGAAGAGTTTTGTGGAAAGATTTCACTTCAATATTATTTCCTCATTAGTAGTACTTGTTTTTATTTTAGTTCGAGTATGTTTGGTTTGGATGTTTGGACTTTTGGAGTTTTGTTGATAGGAAGAGTTTCAGTTCCGGTCGTTCAGACTTAAATTTGCCTGTTTCAGGTTTAACAAGTCAGGTTACTTTGTATGAGGTGGCTGACTCTATGTCTACTTTTCTGGTTCAAGATTGGATCAGTAAAATCTGTCATGTGAGGGGAGAACTTTAGAATTTAATGCTTTCTTTAAAGCTGTCAAGATCTTCAATGTAATGTTAGTCTACTTTTTTGAATGTTCTTCTAAACCTATTGAAGTATTTGCTCATGTTAATATCAACATCCTTGATTAAGATGAGACTCGAACTTGTGACCTCCTCTTTGGGAGGTCAGCAATGATGTCATCAAACCACAATGTACTTGACATGTTAGTCTACTTTATTTGAACACATATCTAGAAGAACCAAACTCTAATGAAGTTTTATGTATATAGTAAACCGTGTTGTAACTCAAAACAAACTCTAATGAGCGAGAACAATGCTCTATAATAATGTAAATGTGCACAACAATGATATACAAACAATTAATATTGATCAAATTTATCAATGTCAGTGCACAAATCGATAGCAGATTAGAAGATGAATTTCAACTATTTGGAAAAATAGAAGAATCAAAGTATTGTTTCATAATAAAGTTATTCTATGGAAGTTTTAAAATTATATTTTGAATCGGAATTATTAATCATTATTGTACCAGATAATTGCAAGTTTTAAAAAGTTCCAAGAATTTACAGATAAATCAGAATAGCTGGAAATAATATTACTAACTTCTAATAATGCCTAAATCAAGACTTCTAGATAAACAAAAGTAACACAATAATAAATCAAATTATAGTTGATTATGTACAAATTCAATCATTCACCAACTAAAGTATTGCTAGGATCCTGACCAGTAAAGACTAAAGATTACCCACAAGAGATATTTAGAAACCAGCTTAGAAGAATCACAAATTCAACATAAGCAGATATCAACTTGAATGAATCATGAAGAAGTGGATCTTAATTAATACTCCCTCCGTCCCGGAAAATTAGTCCCACTTTGACTTGGATCGGAGTTTAAGAAAGTGGGAATAAAGTGAAAATGTATGGTTGTGGTTGAGTAAGAAAAAGGTAAATGAATGTTAGTCACACAAAACTTTCCAAAAAGGGAAATGGGAACAATTTTTTGGGACGGCCCAAAAAGGAAAATGGGACTTATTTTATGGGACGGAGGGAGTATATCTTTTTTGAAAGCACATATGATTCAAATTACCGTCTTTGTAACTTTTGTTTCATGTGCCCGATTTTGGCTTTGCTATTCAGTGCCGCCACTTTCGATCAGCAAGAGCCCACTTTAAGTCTGCACTACTTCCCGCTTGCATTTCAACCCAAAACTTTCTCCACTCTTTTATTTCTATGGAGATTTATACTCCCTACATCCCATTTTAGTTAGCCAAATTTGACTTCTTAAGTCAATA